TGGGGAACCTTTGACCTTGTACTAAACCTTCCAGAATCTTCTGTATCCCATTCTTACAGCTGACCTGATATCGCTATGGCCAAGACCAATACTGGCGGTCAGGGTGTACCATTAAACCACTATGCCCTTGTAGAGTTCACCCCAATTCCGGTACTGACTTCACAACATATCCCTACTACTTTGGTATTCAATTCAAGTTCCATCAAGCTCCCAAACCAGATAGCCCGAAAAGGCAGGTCATAATCATACATCTTTGGTTTACATGTTTGCTGACATGTAACCTTTTCTTCCAGAATCCAGAAATTCCGGTGGCCTGGTTGGTTCCATTCGGGCCCTCCTCAAAAGCCGGCTCTTTGCCTGGTTTTACAAGTTCTAGCTCTGTTTCGTAGGTCTAGTCTTTACAGTAGCACCGTCGAAAGTTCAGGTTACCTCTCTACTCAGGTCTTCCAAGTGGGCTTCCATCCTCCTACCTGGTTCCCATGATTTACATGGCCTAAGGACTTATCTTGGGTTCACACCACCCAGTACCGGTTTGTGTTCCTTTGTACAATATTGCACGAATGCCTAGATCTTCTAGTCAGGCTGGTATGACACGAGTTACAGGTATCCTATCCCAACCAATCACGGAAGACAGTTAGCCGTAACACAGAAAGAATTGCAAATTTTCACTGTCACTGAGATTTGAACTCTAGACCTGCCACTTGGGGGTTGACAACCTATCCACTTCACTAGGTCACCAAACCCCATATTATTTTATTTTTTTAAATTATAATTATAACATTTCTTCTAATAATAGTACTAAGTAATTAATATAATATTTTTTAAATTATTCATTTAATTAAAATAAAATACAATGTATAAAAATTCAAAAAAACTATACTACAAAGCATTTTTTGAATATTTTATAATTTAGTAAACAAAATTTAATGATTTTAATACTATTAAATTATCTAATCAAAGTGAATCAAATATATCAAAATTATTAAATTTTAATTCTTAGATTATAAGATCATTAAATTTTTATTAATTTAATTACTAAATAAATTTTTTATTTTTTTTTAGTATTAAGGTAACCTCTTTGGTCTTTTGAGTTTTATTAATCACTTATCAGTATTGTAGTTCAATGAACCACTACAGAAGAGAATACAATTGGCTACATATATAACTTTTCTATCTTCCAGAGCCTTCTGTACTTATTTTTATAGTTGACCTAGGTATCGTTATAGCAGAACCAACATTTGTGATTAGGGTTAACTATTAAACCACTATGTTCTTGTAAAGTTCACTTAGAACCTAGTATTTACTTCACAATATAACCTCAGTATTTTAGTATACCTCTGTCTTTTTACTTGCTTTTTTACTAAACTCCTAATTCAGATAGCCTGTGTAGGACTATGACTAGTCTATCAGTATATCAGATCAGCCTGATATTTTTTTTCTTCGATTCATTCTGGTAGCCTGGTTGGTAATACTCTCGAGACTCCTAACCTGGAGGTTCTTACCCATTCAGCTACTATGACCAAGTATTACGATCTTGGTATTCATTTTCCTAAGCTAGCCTTTACAGTAGGACTGTCAAAATCTAACTACTTCTCTATTCGGATTTTTCCAAATAAACTTCTTGTTATCCAATTTCAATAGATTTATATGGTCATAAGAACTTATTTAGTGTTTTATTGCCCAATTTGTTAGTTTGTATTCTTTTGTGTAATGCCATACTTAAACAGATACCCTATGACCTGCCAGTTATGCTGGTGTGATCACCATTACAGATATCCTAACCTAATCGTTAATAACAGTTGCTGTAATATGAATATTACATAAGTGATTATCCAAATTTTCATCATTAATGAGATTTGAACACCCAACCTACCACTTGGAGGGTTAACAACCTGACCACTTCACTAGGTTACCACATCTCATTAAATAATTTTTATTAATTTTGATTACTAAATAAACTTTATAAAAATTTAACAATTTTATAATCTAGTGATCAGAATTTAATGATTTTGATACCATCTTAATGAGATGATTCAAATAGTACCAAAATCATCAAATTTCAATTACTGGGTCAAAAGATATTTAAAAAAAATATATTATAATACAGTTTTAAATTTTGTAATGAACTGTGTCACAAAATAGTTTTTTGAATATCTCTTGACACAATGATCAAAATTTGATGATTTTGGTATCATTCAAACTGTCTTATTAAAACAAATCGAATGATACCAAAATCATTAAATTCTGATTACTAGGTCATAAGATCATTAAATTTTTATAAATTTTATTTAGTAATTAAAATTAGTAAAAATTTAATGATCTTCTAATATAGTGGTTAGAATTTAATGATTTTGATACCATTCAATTTGTCTTGATGAGATGATTCAAATGATACCAAAATTGTTGAATTTTGATCACTGGGTCAAGAGATATTTGAAAAAAACTCTTTGTGACACAATTTTTTTAAATTTTTGTATTGAACTGTATCACAAAAGGTTTTTTTCGAATATCTCGTGACCCAGTAATCGAAATTTGACGATTTTGGTACCGTTCGAATCGTCTCATCGAGACGAATCGAATGATACCAAAATCATTAAATTCTGATCACTATATCGTAAGATAATTAAAGGTTTATAAAATTTATTATAATTTTGTTATTTTTATAGATCTTCATATGACGCGTTTCTATTGGTTAATTACGCGCCGTAACAGACGTCAATCACATAATCTGACAGATTTTCAATGTCAAGAAATATAGCGTCCTTAGCTACGCTTCGGACAATTACAGATCATGTGGGTGGCTCCACCAAGACTCAATATGCTCAACATGCAATGTAGGTAAAAATTTCATAGTGGTAGCACTATGGATCCAGTACTGGTTCGTCTGGTAACAATTGCAGCAGGTAGCACTACCACATACCCATATGACCCGTAATTTTTATGGTCACCTGGTCTTTATATGACCTTCATAAATTTATGTAAAATGCATCAAAAAAAGTAACTATTTTGATAGACATGCATCAAAAACGTAATTTTTGTATCACTCATTACATAAAATTAAGTGTCCGGCGGACATCTACATAATTGATCATATCGTTCGTACTACCAATAATAGTCATTTTAATAAAAGATATATACTTTCATTTAGATATATTCATTAAGTCTAAATATGCTAATTTATTTCCGACAACATACACAGTCGTGACACAAGACCAATGAGTTGGAGATGAGTAGAAATGCCTTCCAAAATTTTCATATGAGCGAATCCAATCTCCTTTGAGACCAATATGAACAGGACTTTATTTAGAATAATAGAAAAAAAAAACCAAATGTTTCATACTAAACATTTTTTTCTCACCTTTATAAAATCTAGCTTTTGTCCTTCTGGCCATTCGTTATTAAATTTCACTACACGAAACATTGTTGTAATAATATCCATCGCGCTGTAACCTTTTTCCCAAAGTTCAGTTAATCCCATCAACGCTTCATCCACCCTGTAGTTATAGCAATCATCAAGGATTTTTGTTACCGCAGTAGGACTCGGTTGATCGCAAACCTTATAAACATTTTCAGCATTGACAAAACTAAATCCTGTAAACGTTGATTGAAGGTTGTTGATAGCCTGACGCATATCCCCTTCAGCGGTGAAAATGATAGCTTCGAGGCCTTCTAAATTATAATTCACCTGCATAAACGTGTTAATAATATTAAAAAAAAGAAAGTGATTCGACAAACTAATGTACTCACACCTTCAAGTTTACAAATTTCAAGCAACCTCTTCAATATTGTTTTGTCCGACAATTTACTATATTTTAAAATAGTGCATCTACTTTGAATAGGTTCAATGATTTTATTTGACGTGTTGCACGCCAAAGCAAACCTGGTCGTATTGGAATAAATTTCCATAGTACGACGAAGTGCTTGCTGAGCACCAGATGTCATGCTTGATTCAAAAAAATAAAGGAATAAATTTTTACGAACCCAAATAAATTCAGAATATTGAGTAACTGCAACTAACCTATCAGCTTCATCAAGGATAACAATTTTCTGTCTGCCAGGTGGGAGCGTGACTTTAGTTTGTGCGAATGTTTTAATCGTATTTCTGATAACATCAATACCTCTAAGCATTATATACTACAATATTAGAAGATAGTTATTAAGGAATTATGAATAAATTAATAGAACTTCACCTATCATCAGAAGCATTCAACTCTAATACAGCATTCTTAGCGTGAGGACCTAATAATTCGTTTGCTAAGCACAGGATACTCGTCGTTTTACCAATGCCGGGTGGGCCCTACAAAATGATTGTTAAAAGGGTTCGTACAACAGCACAAGCTAAAAGATAGATTGAAAAACGTGAAATTTTTTGTTACAGATAAAAGCATATTAGGCATGTTTCCTTTTTGTGCTATTATTTGCAATCTACTGACGACGTCTTCATTTCCTATTACGTCCTTCATTAAAATTGGTCGATATTTTTCAACCCTTTCAAAGAAACAATATTATTATAATTTATAACGCGCCTTGTTAAAAAGAGTACGATACTCGCGTTAGATACCAGGGGAGTTCAGTGACATCAACGTTGCCTGGAAACTTGCTATCATCATTATACATGGTTGTCGAAAATATTTTGCTCTTGGCGTAAATTTAAATGGCGAAAATGATTTTTGACACGAGAATTCAAATTAATTGATTGGTGGCGCAGTCACAATAAGTAATACGATTAAATCGTGAGTCCTCCAGGGTGGCCATCAATTTTGCAGGGACGTTATCGTCGATCATGGCGCAGCTACGGTCTGCAATAAAATAGCCAATAACGAATTCAAATTTGGTGTAACATGATCAAAAAAAAAGTTCGAAAATCGTCTATTTCATAAATTCTGCGCTCTAATAAAAAATTTTTCTTGAGCAATTTTATTTAAATCCTACCTTCATATAAGCATCAACATTACCAAAGCTGAGTAGTTTGGTCGTTTAAGATTTTAATATTATTTGAATCATTTTATTAAGACGATTCAAGTACTACATATTAAAATCTTAAGCGTTTAAACTTACTCAGTTTAAGAACATGTTTTAAGTGTCTAAACTTAATTTAAGAACATGATTTACAGGTTTTCTCTTCCCATCACTCATTAAATAATTAATACAAATTTATTTATTTTTTTTCATTAGAATTTGTCATTACAATATCTTGTTTTCTATAACTACAATATCTTTGTCTTAAATAACTATGGAATCTTTTGCTTCATTAATTATAATGTTATTTTCTTTATTTGATTTACTCAAGCATGGTAGGTACATTAAATATGGTTTTTTGCTTGTTGAACTCTAAGTGGTTTGTCAATGTCTTTTTCTTTTCACTAATTGTATTTCTTCTTTCATTTACATCAATTTGCTTCACTTCATTATAGTACAGACATGACATCAATTATTAGTCGTTTGTTCAATACAAATACATTTGAATGCTTATTCAAATAAAAGTTAATTTTCTTTAATATAAAAACAAGTCTTGTCTTTAGGATTATCAACAACATCAATGCAATATATTTTGAAACTTCAATATATATAACTGTTATAGATAAGATACTTTTTGTATCTTTATTACAAATGAAGTTCTTTATAACTAAAAAGAAAAAGATGATCAATGTTCAAAATTATCTTTAATTAGTCATCATCATATATTATCAGATATATTTATAACTTATTATACTAAATGTTTATATATCAAAAAATGATTTCTAATAAAAGTTAAGTAGTTACAGATCCAATGGAAGATTAGAATAAAGTATGAATCAATTAAATTGATTAAATCAATCATTTCTGTAAAAAGTATTATTGTTTCTAAAATTTTTAAAAAGGGTTTCATTTATAAGTCTAAGTGCAGTCTAATTATGAAAATAGAATTGAATATGTTGTTTAATAAGTGATGAATCTGTAATGAGTTGGTTTAGTAATTTTATGTTTAAAAAATGAACAAGTTTATGATAATGATTTAAAATGTTATTAACAGTCTAAATAAGATGTATTATAAAAATAACACATCTTTTGTTACTTGCTTTATTGATTTGTTGTCGAAATAAAAGAGAGCTTTCAAGATAACAGGTATAGTAGAGTTGTTTTCAAATAAAGTAGACAAATTGAAGTCATAATTGAATACAAGAAGGGTTAATGAAGATAAGTAATTGAAAATCACATTATAACTGTTTATTAATTTGAGAGATGTTTTGGTTAATACTTGAGATATTAGAAGATTAGATGAGTTTTTTAACAAGTTTAATGATAGTCTAAGTTTTTTAAGAAAGAGATATAGTAGGGTACTATGGGATGAATATTAGTAATTGTAATTTTGTTTGTGAGAGATTTTGTTAGAGATTGTATGAGTAGCAATATAGAATATAGAGCATTGAATTTTGTGTCAATTAGTTTTAAAACTTTCATCAGTAGTATTGTTAATAGGAGTTTTGTATAATAAAAATTGTTGAATTAAAATATCAACAAAAGAGTTTCAGTTTTCTGTAGTTATCATTTTATAATTAAATATACAACAACTAATCTTAGTATGTTTTCATAAAGGTTTATTGTAGGCATGTAGGAATGTTCAAGTGAAGGTAAGAATCAAGTAATTACTTGAAATAAAGGTTTGATTATTGTTAAAACTATAAGAAAAAAGAAATTGTATATTAAATTGGTCAGTTCAGATATAGTTAATATGACTACTGCTAGTATTGTTAGTTCAAGTAAAGTGTTTATTATTAAAATGGATTCTAATATCATACATATTAGAATAATTAAGAAAGTTGATAAGTTTATATTTAGAAAAAAAATTATAAGTATGATCTTGTATATTAAAATTACCAAGGATAATAGGATGTAGGTAAAGTTAAGAAGCTTGTTGAATCCAGTTGATTACTGTGTTTTGAGTTTGGTTTTGAATAATTATATCAGTAGATAAGAGGTATACTAAGATAATACAAAGTTTGATATTGATTTGAAAGAAAATATCAAGTACAATAGCTCTTTTTGAGTAAGTATAAACACTGTGAATGTAAGATTTAAGATAATTATGAATTATAATAACTGTTCTTTTTATAGAAATAGGAGAGTTGGACTAGTAGTAGGTAAAAAAGTTATTGTTATAAAAAAAAAGATTAGTTTTGTCAGAAATTTTTGTTTTAATAATGCTAGCAATAGATATATTATTATTAAGACAGTAATCTTGTCAGGCTTTTTTTTTTATTAGATCATTAAAGTCTCTAATATTATGTATAACAATAGTTAGGTTAAGATGATAAGAACTTGAGTCAGAAAAATATAAAGCAGAGTTATGATCAATAGGAGTTGAGTAATGATTATTAAAGAAGAAGTCAAATAAAATAGAAATAGAGTTAAAGAAGTTAGATTTGAGAGGGAGGTTATAGAATAGTAAGAAAAAATATAGAGTAATAATTATATGATCTAACAAAAGAATATTATTAAGGAGGTATATATGGGTTTCATTATAAAATGAATTAATAGATAATGTAATACTAGATACAGTTTTTTGTTATTGTATTTATTAATATGTTGAATTAAGGTTTGAATGATTTGATCATAAGAGAGAAGTAGTAAATTGTAATAAAAAAGAAATTTGTTAAAATATGTATGAAGATTATAAAGAATTAAAGATATTATAAATGATCTTTCAAAATTGTTTTCTACAAGGTCAATCACCATATACTCAACTCTCATAGCTGTACAAAATACTATAATTTGCTTTATATGTTGGGTCTAACCATCATTAACTTGGCTTTTTATATAAATAGGCTTGTTTACCTACTTACTTATTTTATTTTCCTTATTAACTACAATAATTGTTTTTTTTAATAAGGTGGTGACTGCTTCAATGTTAGTTATAGAAGACAAAGAACTTAAAAATAAGATTGTAAGAAGAATGAATCAAGAATAAAGATTGGTTGAAAGTCAAGATTGAATTTTTTTACTAAAAACTTCTTAGCTATTAGATAGGCAGTATTATTGAAATATTTGACAATTTGTAAATAAGTAGATTTTTGATTTTTGACAACATCAAAGTAGATAATAATTTGGATAAGGAATTTAGTATTAATGATGTTTTTTATTAATAAGTTAATAGTTTCCTTCGTAAAAAGAAACTGTATATTATGATTTTCTGCTGCAGTTTGGTAATATAATAAAAGGTAGCATTAAAAGTAGTAATTATAATATTTAGGATTTGTTTTAATTTTGTTTTATTTGTAAACAAAAGTTTTCAGCTTGATTAGCCAACTTGTCTAGAGTTTTAGTAGAAATAAGTTGGTCAAATAAGGTAACATGTTCTTTGTTTTTGTAAAATAGTATAGTATTAAGAATAGGATGAATTTATGTTTTATCCTCTTTAGATAGAAATGATAAATAAGATTTGCTTAATATGTTATTAAAGAGTTTAGTGCTGTCATAGAATTTTTTATTGTTGAGATATTGATATAATTTGTTGTTACAAATGAGATAATAAAAATTTGTAATACAAGATGCTTTACAAGTACTACCAAGCAAAGAAGTAGTAGATAAGCTCTGGAGTTTTGTCAAGTGCTATGAGAGCTTAGGTCTAAATAGTTACTTGGTTTAACATAATATTCTATATAGTGTAACTCTTATAACTCCTTCTCAAGTTAGTTTTTCTTTCTACCCTTACTACTAGATTTTTCTCTCAAAATTTTTACCAAAAAGTAGGAAATCTGGCATACCCTCTCCAAAAGATCAACACTGTTTATCTTTCCAAATCGGTAACGTTAGTCATGAGAAAATTATGATACTGTAATAGAATTTATTTTTTTTCTATATTAGTATATATTTATTTTTAGCGCTATATTATATTTTATAATTTTCCTAATATTTTTACATAGTTTATAGATTATTTTATTAGTTTTAATCACCTATTTA